AGGAATAGCATCATCAAAAATCGGGGAACCTAAGAGACGGAGTGATTTATTATCAAGAATTTTGATATTAGGAGCTAAAGCCGAAAATTTTGTAACAATATGTTTTAACTGTTCAGGTGAAAATTTTGATTCTGGAATAAATAGCTCACATTTTGGAAAATTTAAATCAAGGCCAATACTTTTGAATTTATCGATAATGACGTGAAAATCTGAGAGAACCGTTGAAATATCGCCAGCGATAGTTCCGTCGTCAAGGTACCATACATTAAATTTAGAATTTAGCGAATCAATAATGGGTTGTATAGCCAAACTAAAAATAGCGGGCCCAAGAGGATCGCCTTGCTGGCAGCCAACTGATGAATACAAAAGGCTGTTTTTGAAAATTAATTTAGTAGGTTTGCTGTAACATTGCCAAAGATAGTTATAAATAGAAGGAATTTTTTGTTGAATTACTGATAGCAAGGCACCTCTATCTACGGAGTTGAAGGCGTTCTTGACATCCACCTTCAGCACCACCTCCGCTGCGTCGAGCGACAGGAAGGTGCGAAGAGCGTGCACAGCTGCTTCACAACCTCCCTTGACACCAAAACCAAGCTGAACCGGTTGGAATTCAGCTGAAACTGTCGGTAAAATGTGTTGACAACAAATTTTGGATGCTAAACGGCGAAAGGTGGAGCCAACAGCTATAGGGCGAATACCACCATCTTTTTTCTTTAAGGCAATTAAGTTGGCCCCGTAAAAGATATCAGCAATATCTTCAGGAACTTCACCGGATAGCATCAAATTAACCAGAAGAGTGATATTATGTAATAAGACTCTGCCAGCGTCACCGACAGAGACGCAAAGAAGGTCTTTTAAATGTTGTGGAGAAAGCCCATCTAGACCACTGGCAGAGCCACTTTTAAAAGAGAATATCGAATCTAAAATTTGCTTATCTTTAGTTATGAAATGAGCATGTGTTAGATCTGGTGGCGTAGGTAGAAGCAGATTTGGTGCTGGAGGTGGGTGCTTGTCTTCAAGAGCACTAAGTGTCTCCTGGCAGTAGACGGCGACAACATCATTACTGAACAGGAGGTTGGCAGCTCCTCGGAGATCACCATCGCTAATTTTGGATTCTATTAGTTTTACGGATTTATTAGAATTTGGAGGCCGAGAGGGAGGAATAACAAGAGAATAAACCGACGGATTTAAGCGGCAGTTCTCCTTTACTTTTTGCGTCAATGAAGTACAAATACTGTTTTGGTTAACATGTAAAATTCTATAGCTGAACGTTAGGAGTTCTGCCCAGCTCTCAGACGTGTTTACTCTTACCACATGCTCAATGCATTGTGATAAAGAAATAGCGACTGAAAGCCGTGCAGAACGTGGAATTCTTTTTAAAACAGGAAGTGAACTTTTTAGATTGCCAAGAATTTGCCAAAGAGGTTGGTTTCCCGAATTCAAAGATACTGCTGGCACAGAGGCAGGGGATTTATGAACCCTACCAATGTGTATATTTAAGCCTCGGTTTCCTTTAAAAAACCGAGGTTGGGAGCACTTAGTACACTGAACTAGTTGCACGTCGTCACTGCCAGGGATTGAATTTGCAGACATGTGAAAGATATAGCGTCAAGACGAATAATAACACTAACCAAACAAAAAGCCATACGAAATAAACATAAAAAACATAACACTTAAAAAGTAATCACAACACAATAAAATAAAACAAACTATTTCATAATGTCATTTTGATATTGATTCGGCACGTCACCAGTCACCACACGTTCGTTTTGTTCTCCATGGGCCCATGGGGTCCAAGTGCTCGTTCCTTTTTTAGGGAAATATCAAAGAGACTCACCGAAGTTACTGGTGATCAAAAGGCTGGCAGCTATCTTGGTCAACGGATCAGCCTTGCCATTCAACGTGGCAATGCTGCCAGCCTATTGGGCACCATCCCTGACGGCGGCGATGGGGGTGACTTATTTTTTATTTTGTAAATAGGATGTTATTTATAAATAGGTTTAGGATATTTGTATTTAAATATTATTTATTTCTGTACATATATAATTAAAATGATTATGTTTAATTATATTATTAAATCCCATATTGATAATATTTTGTGTTTATATGATAAAACAATGCCTAAGTCAGTTTTCTTGTTATTGATGCTGCGGCAATTCCATTGAATTATTTTGGCCAATTGAGCCATGATTTGGGTTTGTAATTTTATTAATAAGATCTAGTAAAGGAGCAACGTGGGAAGGTTCATAATTATTAAATTGAGTTAAAAAATTTATTAGAGGGACAATTACATCTGTAATTGTCAAATTTGAATTCCTGTTAAATTCATGTTCAATAGCAGTACCATTACCACTATTGTTGGGCATATCATAATCTTTGATCATATTCATATGTTCTGCTTGATTAAACCCCATATGAAAAGTAGGTGAACGAACTTTAGGTTTCATGAAGACAGTTTTTTTATAAGAATTGTTATGTTGAGTTGCATTATTAATTGGTGTAGTTTTAAAATTAGAGGATGCCTTAGTTGGCTGGGACGTTAGTACTTCAGAATAAGATTTATTTACAGAAGGATGTAATTTTGATGCCTCAAAATAAGAAGTATTATCATTTGCTATAGTCACTTTTATACGCCTTTGTCTTTCATATTCAGGACAAATTCGTTTATTAGCAAAGTGGGAACCAGAACAATTACAACAATGTGCATCTTCTTCCTCAACTGAACATGTATCACCAGTATGATCCTGGCCACACTTAAAGCAGCGAGGTTTAGACCTGCACTGCAGTTTAGTGTGCCCAAAATGACAGCAGTTAAAACATTGGACTGTTGGATATATATAGCGGTCTACAACTAATGCATTATAACATAAAAATAAACGTGAAGGAAGTACTTGGCCATCAAAGGTAATAACTACTGACTGGGTAGATTTCCATGTTACAGTATTATCAATAAAAACTTTATGATTAATACGTCTTATTTTGATTATCTCCCCGCAGCCTACAGGAAGAGTGATTTTATCTTTTATTTCTTCAGGAGTCCAATCTTGTGGAACTCCACGCACAAGACCCATTCGGGTTATGTTGAAAGAAGGAACAAAAGCTTTATAATTATTATCATGTAATCTCGTATCACATAAGAAATGATTAGCAGCATCAAATTTATTAAAAGCTAGGACAATTCGGTCTCTCCCAATTTTTTTAACACTGCCATCTACTATGGATTGAAAGTTATTTTTTTTAAGAAAGTAACCAAAATTCACGGGGTGTAGGGTGGAAGAGTCATTAAAAGCTGTCTGCTCACGCTGGACATGCACAATGAAAGGAGGAAAATCATTTTTGCCATAAAATTTACGACTATTCACAGGACTACTCACTTCAAGTTGAGGCTGATTTAAAATGCTATTCGCGTTTAATGGGGGTGCAGTATGAGGGGTCGTTTGTTTATTATCAGTAATTGCAGATTCGATAGAACTTTCAGATTCACAAAGACATCCTACATTCTTTCCCGCCATTTTGTTTTTCCGCTTTTTCTTATTACACTTTTTACATATTATAACAGATTTACTCCTTTTCCTAGTCGGCGGAGCAGATCAATCAACAATAGTATTGACTGTTTGGTCAGTATCTATACTAGATTCACCTTGGCTCATAACAGTAACATTATAAGCGACAGAGGGAACCGCAAATTGTCCTATATTAGAAGCGGAACCCCCTGGGTCAGGGGGTTGGTTCATTGTAAATATTATTTAAACGACTTACCAGGCGATGAAGTTACTAAAAATACACTACACAAATATAAATATACAATTAAATATAACTACGCTACTCAACTGGTTGAAAAAAAATGAATTTTAATAAATTTAATTTCAAAAGGTAAAAACACGCCCGCCTACTTCAACGTTTCCCGCCTTTTCTCCTACTATAACTTCATGGTATTTTTTTTTTAATTTTATGGCTTGGATGCTGGTCTTTTAAGCCACGTCTTCGTCTATAAACTTCATGGTATTTATCGATGCTGTTTTTTTTAGATTTTTCCTTTTTTTAGGAAAAGCAACGGGAACAATGTCCATACAGCCTAATCTTTAGTTACAATAATCTTTCTTTTTTTATATTAGAATGTCGGTGTGATGCATTCAAATGTTTCTTGGAGTGTTGGCACGAATTGTATCGAGTTGGCTTTTTCGCTAAGCTTCTGTGAGGTAGTCAACACTACAAGAAAGTACTCACGTCCACTTGACCGGAATAGCGTATATTTTAAAGATTCCACTAATTCTTCAGTATTTGCCAGTCAGGTAACGTCACAGGGCCAAAAGTAACACAAACTGTTACAGAAGTAATGGACCGGCAACGATACGTCAGAACTCAATCATCAGCAACCACAGCAACAGCAACGTATCGTTGGGCATCAGGATCGTCGCTCGTCCCGTCATCGTCAGAACACAACACGGCAGATAAGTATAGCTCTGCCTTTAGTTTCTCTAGTATCTCTAACTAGTCTGTGGTTTCTCTATCTATGGATGGATGAAAGATAAAATGCGGTTTTTGGCGGGATTCCATCGAGTGCGGTTGGCGTCTTATTTTAATTATTCTTAAATTCGTTCATAGTGGATATTGTGAAATAAAATTGGTGTGGTTTTGTGTAACAACTGTCTGCGTAACTGAAGAATTAGTGGAATCATTAAAATATACGCTATTCCGGTCAAGTGGACGTGAGAATTTTATTGTAGTGTTGACTACCTCACAGAAGCTTATCGAAAAAGCCAACTCGATACATTTCGTGCCAAATACTCCAAGGAACATTAGAATGCGTCACACCGACATTCTAATGTAAAAACAAAAAGAAGATTAATTTAATTAAAGACCAGGCTGTATGGGCATTGTTCCCTTTGCCTTCCCTAAAACGGGAGAACTTCAACAAAAAAAAAAAAAAAAAAAAGATAAAATGCGTTGTTTACGTTTGTTGTGTTTAACTGTTTAATGTTTATCTACCTTGAGCGATTATGACTGGAATTTCTGAATTTAAACATTTATTTCCTATTGATAGTATTCAAAAAGTTTGTGAATTATTTGAGGAACAACTGCGTAGTGAAAAGGAACCCGATTTAGCATTGTTTTCAATTATTGTCGGCGCTGTCGAGAATAACCTTACAAATATTAAAAACAGCGAGAAAGATGTTAATTTAACTAATAATAAGTTCATTAAAATAAAGTTCCCTTCAGTCGAATGGGATGAAATAAAGTCTTTGAATGAAAGATTCGAATCTTTGATGCGGGGAGGCGTTGAAAATAAATTATTAAATGGAGAATTTGCTACTAGGGATTTGATAAAACGCGTTGCTGACATAGTTTGGAATTCTCTTACTCGTAGTTATTATAAAGATCGTGCACATTTACAGTCAATCTACAGTTTTTTGACCGGTAATAAGCTGGATTGCTTCGGTGTAGCATTTGCGGTTACTGCAGGATGTCAAGTTTTAGGGAAACAAGATGTACACTTAGCGTTATCTGAAGATCACGCCTGGGTTGTTTTTGGAAAGGATGGTAAAGAAACTGCAGAGGTGAGTTAGTTATTTTCACTCTGGAATATATATTTTTATGCTTATAATATTCATGATAACCTGTACTAGTAAGTACATTCAACAAAACAACATTTATCTCAAACAGTTATATTCCTGTATTGTTTTAATAATTTATGGTAACATTATAGTTAAGAGACTGTAGCTATACAGCTATACATTATTATTTTACAGATCTGAAAATCATGCATAAGCGCTAAGTGTGTAAAACAAAACAATTATGATATAATAATCCTATCACCTACATTGGAATTTATAGTTAGTGTTAGTAGATTATTATCTTTGAACCGCTTAAGTGCATATCTGCACGCCTTCATTATATTATTATAGCCCATTTGCGGAAGTGCAGATTTGCTTGCTTGTCACCCACATTAAATTTTTTGCAATTTTGGGAATAAATATAATGCAATACAGTTCAAAGTCTTTTGAATTTTATACCCAGATGAATAAACCATTCACTCATTGTGGTGAAGTCGTTCTCATAACCAAACAACCGTTAGTTCGATGATTTTAAAATCGAGCAGCGGGGAGCCCGCAACTAAAAAGTAATTTTATAAAATAGTTTATTTTTTGCAAAAATCTATTGTTTTGTTATTCACCTTTGAAAAGGTCACAAGTATTCATATCATTTATTCAAATCGCGTGGGTGTTTTAGGCGGAGGCTTTCCCGCAGCTGACATGTTAAAGATGAAATGGTCTCCGTATTAAGGTAGTTTCTCGGTTTTTATTAAATTTAGCTAGCTGAAAATCCTTTCTACACATGCATTGGAAAATGGCAATGACGAAAAGAAAGTTAAAAACTTTCTGTAAATTGGTATAGGCTCGGGTGTTCGCAAGATCTTTAATTTTAAAAATTCTTTCCAATATTCTTCGACCTTTGAAAGAGGTTTGCCATCTTTAGAGTTCAGCAAAGCATGGCTCGTCCATTCTCTTAGCAAATCTTAGACATTAATGTGAGCTGCTAAAATAGGAAAATGTGTTATGATTTCCGAAGACTGGTGTGATCATTTTCCTGAGCCTTTTTTGGATCCTCGACTTTATTTAACTGGTCGAAAAGTGGGTCAGTGAGATCAAATCCTTCAATAATTTGGTGAACCAGCTCAATGTAAAAAGATAGGCAACTTTTTTGAAAGACCTGGATTTGTGGTGTTTGTGGTATGGGTCCCTGTTTCATTTTATTTATTTTATTTAAATGTCTAGGCCTAAATATATTTTTTCCAAAGTAACGAAACTTCCTGTGTTGGAGTATTCAAATTACCACTCTATATTGGAATTATAAATGGGTCGACGGTTTGCAATAGCTTATCTTCATGTAATTGCTTGCTACGATTTTTAAGATTTATTTTAATTCCAGTTTTAGGATGTGTAAAAGTGGTCTTTTTAATTGGAATAGCAAGTTGAAATCCGTAAGCAGTTCCAAAATATAAGACATGTATTCCAGATAATATATACATGTAATTTTATTGCTCAAGGCCAATAGGATATCATCAGTTACTTTACTGAGATCTTCAAGAACGTCGACTCTAAAATATGCTCTTAGAACATCGGAATGTTCTAAGACCCTCTGGAGCTCTATTTTGGAATCACTCGCCTTGACTTTGACTCTCAATTTATACTAATTTTTATTCGACATTATTATTCTTAATCGCGGTCTCGACCACTCGTTGCGCGTTGGCGAATGATGGAGGCGAATGGTAGAATAATTGTCAAATTTATGTGAGTTATTTTCAAAATTTTTGCTCAATCAAAATACAGATAAGATGACTACTTTTTATGTTTTTCCGTGAAATTAATAAAAATAAATATTTTGTATTAAACTGGTAACACTGTAGATTAACGACTAAAAAATCAGTATCATGCGACTTGGAAGTAGAAAGTGACTTAAGTCGCATTCGACGATACTATGTCAGGCGAGCGAATCAAAAATAGAGCTCTTGGACAATCATCTGGCAGTTGCCGGACTTAGTATTTTGTGCAAATCCACTTTGAAAAATTCCTGGAATTCTTTTAGTTTTTCTTGCCTGCGTGAGCTGCGACTAAAATGCGCACCAATTATTCGTAGCATATCTATAATTGATTTGGGTAGTTTCATGCATGCCTTTAATGCCGCAAGATGAATCATGTGGCACAAACACTTCACGCAGGCGATACCGGGCATGTCTTTTTTTTTAAATACTGAAGACTGAATTGTGTGCGGCTACCATGCTGTTTGTGGTGTCTGACACCACCAGGCAAGAAAAACTAAAAGAATTCCAAGAATTTTTCGAAGTGGATTTCACAAAATACTAAGACACGTATTATTGGGATCTGACAAAATTCGTGAGACACCTGGTGTTCAATTTTGGAACTAATACCGGGGTGCATCGCTCATCAAAACACATAAGTTATCATTAGTGTCATTAGTACTTTTGAGAAATTAAACAAAAAATGACGGAAGAATTAGGAATATTTAACCCTCGCAAGATTTCTAAAAAAAGAATAAAGTGTTGTGTGTATGGATGTGGAAGCAGTTTTCAAAAAAACCGTGAATTAACGTTTCATAAGTTTCCTAAAAAAAATGCGCGTTGTGTTTACATCAAAAATTATTTTGGTCAAATGGAAAAAGTGGACCAATTCACAGCATGGAAGAACGCTTTGAAGATTGACTGTAAAATAAATCCTCACATGAAAGTGTGTTCATTGCATTTTCTGAAAGACGACTATATATTACCAGGTGAGTCAAATTCGTTTTTTGAGGTTAAGCATGTGTGAAGTAGCATTTTACAAGATCTCATTATTATTCCACTAAGAAAAGAATGGGACGGCAACAACATTAAAATGAAAGAGTTTCCTTGGTTTAGTTACCACAATTCAATAAATGTTTGTGTATACCACAATTCAATAAATGTTTCGCAGCTACCAGTCGTTCACCCTCTCGAAAATTGCGATTACTGGGCGTTGAACCGGACCATTCACAAATATCATTAATTGTTAAGACTATCATTATCTACCACTAATATTGATATTTAACTATTTTACGGTATTTCATCACGGTTTGACTAGGCAAATGCACCCCCGTCGGCGCCATATTGAATAGGCCACGCCTCCATGTCAGATCCCAATAGAAAGATTCTCAGTGATTTATCTTGTCTTGGGCATAGTTAGAAAGGGATGTCGCTATATACATAGCGATATCCCTTTCTAACTGTACTCAAGTAAAGATCAACACTTAGTTGTCATTCTGTAATACGGACCTAAGTCCGGCAACTACCAGATGGTTGGTAAAGTGTATGAAATATATACATGCGCAGGAGACGGCGTGTGTAGAGAAACATGTTTCAGAAACAAAGATTTGTGTACGTGTTTTTTTTGAATGTTTTCAAAAAAACATTTGCTGGAGACTCGGCTTAAGATGTAATAAACGATGTCCATTTTTTAGGTAACTTGGCATGGAAAAGGAAATGAAGACAAAAGAGGTCGTTCTGTCGGAGATGGGGTATCGGCACGTTCATGGCTCTATGTTGCTGGTAAACCGGTAATATGCACACGTATAATGGAACTGGCAGCCTTGGTATCATCAATAAATCCCACTTTAACTCCCACTGTTGATGTGCATGAAGTTGCGCAGATGCAGCACAGACTCTTATGGCTCCTGTATGATCATGGTAATTTATTTTATTGCCTCGAAGCTTAATAGGTTGCCATGTGTAATCTTAAAACTAAGAGTTGCTTTCGTCGAGTCGTTGGATAGGTCATAAACACAAAATTTTCGATTAAGAGTTCCGTTATTAAAATTTTGTGTTATGCTGTGCTATGGTCGTTTATAAATGTGTGAAAAATATCATGTACAGTATAGGAGAAGTTAAAAATATCATATACAGTATAGGAGAAGTTAAAAATATCATACCTTTTTAAAATATACTGAAACGTACAACTTTAGTACCTACATAATTATAATGTTAGCGTTATTAGTTGTGTCATTGTGAAACAGGTACTACATACCCAAATGTAAATTGATGAACCATATTAAATATAAAAAAAAAACATAATCAAAACGTCCCTAATAATAATATTTCCTACATTATTAATATTCAACGTTCGATTATTGGAGTACGATAAGAAGCCTCAGTTTTTAAGCGCGAGAAGTGCGAAAACTCAGATGTTATTCAAGTGCAACTACGGAATCTTACATTGCTTGTGTCTTCGCCGGTTTTTCAGTCTATTGGCAAGTAGGTACAGATGAATTGTAAAACGTGAAACTGTAATAGGAAACCCCCAGGCCTCCATCATTATTTGTTCTGTGGCGATTCTATTAGTCATGTAACGCCAACTAAGTAGGAACATAAAATCTTAAAAACGTTTTAGGGTAAGTACCCTACCCTACATGTGAAATGGTGACATTTTCTCGTCCACGTCATCGCAAACAGTGTTTCTGTAAGTCATTGTGTGTCATTAAGGAAGCCGTGTTTGTGAAATACATATTATGCTTTTACGTTCAAATTTATTTTTCAAGTCAAATGTGCAAAAAAGAAACTTATAATTTTTATAAATACTTAACTCCTCAGTCATCTAGGACAGCTTAAATAATATCACTGATATGTTAGTTTTAATGTTAACAAAGACGGGCGTTAATTCCAAATTTCACCATACACATAAAGATCCTTGTCGCACTATATTTTTTATATTCCGTTGATGCCTCTCCCACACCGCGTCTATCGACACGAGATGTTTCGTCTAAGATCGCGATAAACGCAGGTGTGGGTCAAGTAAGTAAGACATTAGACGCTTTCGAGAAGACTTACGAAGCTGCGTGACGATAGACATTAGACGATAGCTTGACTGGCGGTTTTTGGACACATCAAGGGGGTTTTAGGGGTTGTTAAATTTGTGGTTGCAGGTGAAGGAAGGAAGGAAGGCAACGTGCCTACCACGCTTTTAGCACCGAAAATTTAGAAACTAATTTTAGAGCGATAAGTAGTCGAAGCTTTTGTCGCACAGGTGTGGGATAGGCATCACAAAATGACACCGAAAACATATCTTGGTAAAGAATGTCGAATTGTGATTAATATCACTAATATTAATCACAATTCGATGGTGTGAAAATGTAGTATTTGTTAATACAAATACTATATTTTCACACCATCTACGGACTGAGTAGACGATTGACTTCAAAACCATGTAAGGCCCCCAGCCTCAGTGATTAGGATTATGACAGCTTCTCGTCTGTCTGATATGATCACATTTACTAAATAGGCCCCAGAGCTTCAAGGGGTAGGGGGTGAGGGTTAGACTAAGAGCATAGTTCATTATGAATCGCACCAGTAGCATGTGTTTTTGCTATCTGTCATTGCACTTTTTTACTGAGCTATCTAATATTATTATGTATGTTATTTGTAGGCCATTTAGATGCATATCCTATGGCTCTTGGAAATCTGGGTGATTTGGATGAATACATGAAAATATCAGATACTACAAGTGATGCTCAAGAGTCTGTATTTCAAGTGATATCAGAACCGGCTAGGCCGGATTCTGCTGCCCTCTATAGCCAAGCCATTCGTTCTTCACAAACGCATTACGAGGACCGGCATGTTTATCCATATACTTTTCAAGGCGGGTATTACCATCGTCATAAAATGTACAAAGAAGCATTTCATGCATGGGCCTGCGCTGGGGATGTCATAAGACAGTTTGTATAATTTTATTATGATATTAAAATTTAAAATATATGTTACTTATATAAGTATTTTTTTCTCCAACAATAACTTTGCGTGGATGGAAGGTGAAATCGAACATCCTACTAATATTTATTAATTTGAAAGTTTATGTTGTTTCTCAATTACGCATAAACGGGATGAAATTTGGCACACACATAGTTCATTACCTGGATCGAGACTTAGGATACTTTTCATCCCGAAAATAAGTAAGGTTACTGAAGGATTCTCAAACAAAAATTAAGTTGATGCAGACGAATTTTAGTATTATAATTCGTAATATATTTCTTGTATTCCTAATTTACGGTTTCGTAGTTGGCCATCACAATAACTTGTTGTTTGATGCTTTAAAAACTTTCCCCACTTCAAAGCGTTGTTTGAGCTTCAACATAAATTATTTATTAGGGGTTAGTGGGTGCCGATGACTTCGTCTGCGTGGAAAAATTGGTCAGTCACACAAACTTATACACACCTTTAGAGGATGATTTCTGGAATGAAAACTATCCTATGTGTATTGAGTCTAAGGAGAATCCTAATAGGACTCGAAATATCTCTACCAAATTTCATCTAAATCGGTCAGTTGTTTAAGCGTAAAAAGGTAACAGACAGACACACTTTTACATTTATAATATTAGTATGGATGTAGGTATATTCTGGTCCTTGTGCGAACATATTTTTTTATTAGATTCTAGCTAGATCTTTAGCTAGCACGCTGGATGCGCTTGTACTTGAAGGAATCCATTGAAAAAATAGTTATATTTTTTTACTATGTTGAGGACTTAGAAATCGGTCAGTTGTTTAAGCGTTAAGAGGTAACAGACAGACACACTTTTACATTTATAATATTAGTATGGATGTAGGTATAGTCTACTCCTTGTGCAAACATAATTTTTAATATATTCTAGCTAGATCTTTAGCTAGCGCACGGATGCGCCGGTGCGCTAGCTACTTACTTACTTGAAGAAATCCATAAAAAATAGTTATATTTTTTTACTATGTTGAGGACTTGGAAAGTATCCATATATTTTTTAATTTCTTTTCAGTTATAATTATTCCCGCGACGATGAAGAAATATACAAAGAGTTCTCGGAGATTGCTAATGAATTAATACCACAATTAATGAAAACGGAGAGTTCCGGACACTCTGCTCGATCAATTTTAAAGGATCCTGAATGCTTTGCCTCACTCTTAAGGTGTGTATCTGGTAAAGAATTATGTTTTTCAATACTATAATAGAATTAAGTTTTTTTCTGTTGTTTGATATCTTTAAACTCCCAGAGACTCTTTAAAAGAGTCTGAGGGTTTCTTCGCGTCTGGACTCCACTTTATGTTATACTGAAATTATTTTGCGGCATATTATCGTGAACCGTCAATCGCTGTGTAATGATGCTTCAAAAAAACAAGTAAGGCGTGTGGTACTCGTGAAATATGTAAATAGTAACAGAATGTTACATTTTACCACCATTATGATATGAGACCACTTTACACCACACCACATTATTCACAATGATAGAACATTTTTACTTTGTTACTTAACTTGCAAGCAATTTTGATTTCGGCTGCGTAGAATAATTCGTTGCCCATATAAACTTAAATTCCCAATTTCACACCCTTCCAAAATTTATTTTGCGACTAGAAGATACGATTGAGAAGTTACTTTCGCATTTTTAATATCTAGTAAGTAAGCAGTATGGATGGATTATATGCAAGTATGTGACTAAAGATTTGGTTGAAACCAAACATTTTTTGAGGTTCCATTATTTGATTACAGATTTTACGATGGTATTTGCAAATGGGAGGAGGGTAGTCAAACTCCTATTCTTCATATTGGCTGGGCAAAACCTCTAGTTAGTACAATTTCCAAATTCGATGCAGAGGTCCGAGCTCAGGTCAACATTATTTGTAATTCGGAGTCCGATGAAGGAAAAGAAGAAACGAAAGACTTTGTGTCTTCAACATCCGAAAAAAAGGAAGGCCAGGATGTAAAAGATAAAGATAAATGGAATAACAACGCTGATAACACGGAAATGACAGTTAGAGAACAATTAACTGCCGCAGTAAACAGCCGCCCTCGAGTCACTCTTTATAGCCATAAAATGGCAGCATTGAAACCTCTTCTATTAGCTGAAAGATTAAATACTCACGCTTTGCAACTTCAGTTGACAGCACAGAGTCAGCTGCAGCGTCCATTGGCGCCGGCGAAGAGACGCAACGATGATGAACAAAATCAATGTGCACAATCTGCTCGTGGGAAACGTGCTAGAAGGGAACGTTAAAATTTAACTACGGCTGATTTTTCGATTTAACTTACCTGTCATTGTAAGATAATACCTACTCAATCAAATTATAAATATCATCCACAATATAAAAACCCTTACAATGGGCCGGTAAAATACTATACCAGTTTAAGTATTTTACCGTAACTATACGTTTTATTTAGGGATTGAAAAATCAATCCTACAGTGAGATTTCTTTTAAATATCACGCATGAATAGTACACTTTAAAAAATCATCTTTTTAACACAGAATATCCTCAATATTGTTTTCAATGTTGTGACTAAAATGAATTGTGTGCATGCATGCACCTAATTTAAGCGGTACACATTTGAGCCGCGAGCGCTGTTTCTTTCATTTTTATTTAATCCAAGTATTTGAAGTAACATTGCAATACAATTAGGTCAAATCCCCAGATCATATAGATATAGCTTTGAAACTTTAAGTAAATATAAAGAAAATTTTACTAGAAAAAAGTCCACGCGCACCAGGCAGGAGATGGGACTCGAACCCGCACCCTTCGCTATCCGGGCGAATGCACTTGACCATTATACTACCGCGGCAGCGATATTAAATTCCCTAGATACACCAACACGAACAAAATCATGCCCGACACCTGTCCAAAAGGTACATTGGACGATCCACGTTGCTCCGTATGGGGGCGTCCATAAATTACGTGAGGTGTTTTTTTGAATTTTCTGTTCCTTCCTCCCCCCTGATGAGATGTCGTGAGATTTATTCAACCCCCTCCCCCATTCTCCAATCTCACGTGAGATTTTTCAAAATGTGGGTTTCTTACGTAAATGCGTTGGATTGTTATTATTTAAAGAAAAAAAAATAGTGAATGATCTTAATCGTATTACGATTACGCTTAAGATTAAATGCATTAGCAATGCTTAGCATGTACAATCTGGATTAAATGGACCAAAATAGATTTTTTTTTTGTTTCAATCAGAAAAAAAAAGCGTGATATTTGACTCGACCCCCCACTCTCTAACGTAAGATTAGATGAGATTTGACTCGACCCCCTCCCCCCCTTAAACATCTCACGTAATTTATGGACGCCCCCTATGATGATTGCGTAGTCTAAACAATATAAGGCACTAGCTGTGCCCCGCGGTGTTACCCGCGGTTTATTAGGGATATTTTCCCGCAGTAAAACATAGCCTATGTGTTAATCCAGGGTGTCAGCTAACTCCACACCAAATTTTATTAAAATCGCTCCAGCCGTTTAGACCTCAAGAAGTAACAAACATACACACTCATACACTCACAAACTTTCGCCTTTATAATATTAGTGTGGTTATTTGTTCTTAATTGACATTAATCTCTATAATTCTTGGAATGATATGACAATTGTTTCATTGATTTCACATAATTTATTTTATCATGACAATAACTTTACAGGATTTTATGTTGATAAAAAACTCTATGGCCCATAACTAGGGATGCAAAGTCTTTTGAAATATCGATATTTATATCGGAGTCAGGAAAATATCGATATCCGATATATCGACCATTTTAACTCGATATTATCTCGATATTATTATATATATCGATATTTTTTTCTTTTTTTTTATTGACATTAGAACACGGGGTGAGTGTGACACATTCATATGTTTGTTGGCGAGTTTCTCGCAAAATGCATTGAGCCAGCTTTTTCTTTAAACACGCTTGATGAAATCGTGCCAAGCAGGATTTTTTTTGGCTCGCGCGGTTTGTGTTTCAGCCACGACAGGAAACCAAAAAATTAAAATTATTATCCTGATCAGACCACTCACATTTGTTAGCACGAATGCGCCAACCCGCATATGTGGGACGACATTTGCGAATGCCTTCGCTAAGTTTTCACTACATTCGTACTTTTCCAAGCTATGTCGGTTTTTTAGCGCACATCAAATACGCAAATTGCTTAGTCTCCCACTCATCAGGGGCGTGCCCATGGCTTCAGAATAGGGTAAGCCCAAAGCTTCAAAAATTATATTTATATTTATACCTTTTATACCTATCTTACTTTCTTGATGTGGCGAGCTTAAAAATTTACGATTTGTATAAGATTCTTAATTTTATTTTGTGTTATATTACAATGATATTTAATTTCAATTAATCAGTAGTGGACAATTATCTAGAAAGAGAGGCAAGGATTTTGTTTAAGTGCATGAGTTACCATTAGGTATACGATTATACCTATATACGTTGGTGTCGATTCTGGCATGATTATCTAAACTTAAAACTAAATTTAATATCAGTCTCTCCTTGTCATTCTGTATAGAGAATGACAAGGATACACTGTTGTCAAATTTAATTTTAGGTTGAGAGAATTATGCCAGAATCCACACCAGTTTAGTATATTTCTTGGGGTTCAAGATTTTTTTAATACATCTATAAGCTCTTGCGGTTTCAAAGCAATAGTTATTTTATTCAATTTAGATAGTCATAGCAGGTAAATTAATTGATATTTTTGTGTTTAAATTTAGTCTACGAAATATCGATATTTTGGAATTTCCGATATTGATATTGTCGATATCAGTGAATTTTAAATATCGATATAAATATCGATGGTCTCGATATTATCGATATTCCGATATATCGTTGCAACCCTACCCATAACTCATTAATAGGTACCAACCTTTTAATGAAATATCCGATTGAGATGAAACAAAAAGTATTTTACTTCTACATAAATACTCTTGATAACATAATGCTTAATTTCGATAAAGATTAATATTACGATACATATTTAACGTAGTTTTTTTTTCTTCAGACGATTTAATAATTATTTTGAACACAAAATCGGTTATTGTGATAAAACCATAATAGCTAGATATATGTTCCCGCGGACTTTTGTGTGGGTCTTAATGGGATCTACAAACCCGTAGTACATCATTTTGTTCTATTGTCAATAGTTTTTGCAGCGCACGCGAAAATAGGTTTTCGATTTTACACCTTGTGTTATAAAATAGCAATTTTATTACGGATCCCTAATTTTTAAAAAAAATATAGCCTATAGCCTTCCTCGATAAATGGACTACCCAACACTGAAAGAATCATTCAAATCGGACCAGTAGTTCCAGAGATTAGCGCGTTCAAACAAACAAACTCTGCAGCTTTATAATATTAGTATAGATTATTTACATTGAAAAGCACCTTTTAAAGTACACTGTATATTTTGATCTTAATTAAAACACAAGCGTCAAAGAGTTATGACAGTCCGAAATGTTATTTCGAAAAATTTTCAGACTTACGGCTATATGTGGAAGAAAATAGACCTTATTTCTTTGACTCTACGCGCAATTCTGAATACGCTGTTAGCAATATAGCAGGTACGGACCGCGAGGAAAAGAGACGGCTATATTACCGTCCATGCATTTGAATATCACAAATATTTTCTATTAAATCAGTATATAGTAAGTATTAAAACAAAATTTGCTTTAAATGCGTTAAATTAACAAACATTGATTTGTTGACCTGTAGAAAAACGACATTTTACTATAAGTATTTATTTTGCTTTTTTTTCAGCGGCATGTTGACTTTTCAACGGTCCGCGTGTGACTGTGAACCAAGAAGAGCTTGAGTCGTGTTCTACCATTTCTTGATTGGGACACATTTTGAGCGCACGTGGTGTATCTAGGGTATTTAATTTCGTTGTACCGCGGCCCAGATGGCCGTGTCGAATTTTCTCAAGACCTATGCATTCGCAGACGTCGGCAGATGCATCAGCAGATGGAACACACGTCTGACGACGTCTGTAGGTCATTAAGTCTGTGTTCATTCTCGACGCAACTCGTACCTATACAATATTAAAAAATAAATGAGATCGTAGCTGCCACAGCTATTTATTTATTTAGTACTTTTAACTACTACTTCGCATCGCAGTAGAATTATTAAAAAGAAATGGAAAAGAAAAAGGTGGGGGCTGCTGGCTATTTTTCGGATTCCACAGGTATCTGTGTCCTTGAGTTCTGTATTTAAGCAGAATTCTTGAATACAGAACTCAAGGACACAGATACCTGTGGAACCCGGAATAAAACTTAAATGTTTCGAAAAAAAAATATATTTATTATTTATTTATTTATTATTTTATAGAGCTTAGCCATTTAGCCATTTCGGCGAACGAGAGTAACGACCGAGCAAAAAGTTATTGCAATCACGCGTACGCTCTCATTCGCAACTCCAGTACTCCTGATGCGTCGTGAGATGTGTGGACAGACACGCAGGACATCTGCGCTGAAGCTTTGTTGCCTGCCAGAAAAACCGACCGTTTTTTTTTGTGGAATTCTGTAACCTGGCATTCTGTAATAACACAAGCCGAAATGAGAGCTCGATCTATATTTTGTTAGCAGAAGAAATTCTAATGAATTCCTTTCATATGGAGTCACCAAATCTACACTATGCCCTTTCAATCGGCAATGTGTTATACTTTCTGTGCCTTCTTGTTTAGATGCTAGTGCGTTGAAGTGAGTTGATATTCTCGTCTGGTAGCTTGCTCTATATCTAGCGATCTCTTGTTTGACTGTAGTGATCTGCAGGTTCTCTTTTTAACTTTTAAGAGAAGTCTTTCATGCCACGCTCTGTCGAATGCCTGGCTAATATCAAGAAAAACCGCAGAGCAGAACTGTTTGCATTATAGTGCACGACTTGATCCGTAATATGTACTTGTTCAACAGTACCATGTTTCTCTCGGAAGCCAAACTGGTGAAGAGATAACTTCTGGTAGATAGGGGCACATCCTGTTCAGCAATATATTTTCAAAGAGTACCCAACACAGGAAGTAGTCTTATTGGTCTATATGAGCTTGCATCATGGAGCGGTTTACCTGGTTTGGGTATTATAACCTGCGCGATTTTCCATTGAGCGGGGTAAATTTCTAATCTAACAGCAGGCATTGTAGATGGCCGCTATGTGAATTATGCCCTTTCTGCCTAGAAGGGGTATAATAGCTGCTTGATTAGTTGTGCGTCGATTAAATCGTAGCCGAGTGTTTTACCATTCTGTAGTTTTA